CTCAACCAAATCCCACACGTCCATCACTCCAACCTCCTTCCCACTCGAGTTCTACAGACGAAAGATCCTCGACTACGTTCGAATGTGCGGACCCTTCTGTCTCTTCTCCGGCGGTCCACCCACCTCCACCGCCTCCTTTGCACCCGTATACCTCCGATTGGCACTCTACTTTAACTCGACCGTCTCGTTCGCGTCCCAATTGGGATCGCTCGTCTCACCTCAATCCGAAAAACAGAGCCTTATCCATCAGGACGCAATAGCATTAGGAAATGAGGCGGACAACGTTCTGGACATGGCCAAAGAGATGGGTTTCCTCGGCTATGTACTGGCGGGCACGACTCAGGCTGACGCTTGGAGGTTGCTCACAGGTGGTGCTACCGCCACAGCCTAGAATTTCATTTAAGAGACGTCACTTTCAACGAATATCACTTTCTTTACCCAAACAACCAAGCATTGAACGTGCCAGAACAGAAACAGATTGCAAAAAAAAAACCACAATATCGGGACAAACGACTGACTGACTGAGTACATGCAAAAGTGAAAGCGAACCTCGACCGACCAAAGACTTGCTATGAATTCCACCATTCACTGCTAGTGATCGCCCTTGGGACTCCATGGAATCCAACCTCTACCGCCACCACCTCTGGCTGGACTGCCCTGGCCTGGGTGAGGACCCAAATCCTGTTGATCCAGTAGATCATAGCTCTCGCCCATGGCCTGACCCGCCTTGACCGTCTGCCTACCTGCGCTGACGACTCTGTTCCTCAAACTTCCTTGTGCGTTTGCCGCGTTGGCACTACCGAAGCTGGATCTGGGATTCTTGGGATGAATCATGGTTACCACGGGGGGTTGATTGTCGTCACTATCGTTGCTACTGCTAGAGGTGCTTGAGGGGACGCCGGATGCGTCTAGGGCTGCGAGTTGGGATTCGAGTTGTCTTCTGCGTTGCATGGCTTCTTCCCTGTTGCCATTTCCAGTTGGAATGTTGTATGCGTTGGTTGTGGGAGGAGGAGCTTTGGACTCGAGGAAAGTCTTTGCGGAAGCGATTGCTACGGGGGCATACTGTTTGATGAGGTTTCCAAACATGGAGAGGGGTGCTTGGGCTGGATTATGCTGTGTTGGTGGTGCAGGGGCATTGCCCACTCCGGGCGGCTTATGCCTTGCCTCCTTTCCAGGAGGAGCACTTGTCTGTCCCACATCAGCGTTCGAACTTGAACCCAACGAAGCACTCCACAGCCCACCCAGAGCAGCATCGACCTTCCCCCTCAACGCATGTTTCCCTTCCTCTACCCAATTATCAATCTGTTCCTGATTACTCTGCAGGAAAGGATGCAGATGATTTGTGTAAATGTAGGTTGCACCCCTCGTCTGCGGGGCAACAAGCCAGATGTTGAAGAGGAGACGTAGTTCGTAGTAGAAAGGAAGCCATGTCCAAAGGAATCCAAAGAGAGATTCGAAAAGGGAGAAACAGGCAAAGACGGACCAGTACACTAGCCAGGTTTCCATCTCAGCCAGAGTGGTTGAGGGAGAAGTGACGGCTTTGTAGGATGAATAGAGAGGATAGAGTAAAGTGGCAGTTGCATTGAGGGCTAATGTGGGGAGATGGAGGATGAGAAGGGCCATGATGGGCGATTGAAATCAGCGGTGTGCTGTTGAGAGGTAGCAGTGCTTGAGATCAGTGGTGGTGTCGGAAAAACCCTAGGCTGGACCTGCGAAGCTATCACGAGAGCCTACGATGATGACGGTCAGCAGATCGGATCTGCCTTTTTCTTCTTGTCGAATATGACGACGTTGCTGCTGACGGAATGGAGCTGTCGTGGCAATCAGAAATGCCGTCAAAGATAGCCAAAGATGATGGACCAGAGTCAAAATCCAATCTAAGATGTGGAACCAAGAGGTTAACAACAGGTCGCAACTCCGCCGCCGTCCAAAAAAAAAAAAAAAGAAAAGAAAAAAGTGTCCCCTCTGGCCGCCTGAAAAGGGTCTCCTGATAGGGCCGACGCGCACTCTCTGTGCTGTGCTGTCAGACTGCAGCTCCACCCTAGCTGCTGCACTGCCCTATGCGAGCGAAAAAGGAGACACACAAGCGCGCCGCCCCTCTTGTCTCGCCAATCTCGGCGGCTTGTGTGTGGCTTGAATTCCCTGCCGAAAGAGGAAACTAGGCAGCACAAGATGCTTGGCTTTTGTGCAAATTTGTTTGGTTTGGTGACGTTACAAATTCCTTGCGATTTTTCGTCTCGGCTTGGAACTCATGGAGGGATGGAGGGATGATGGTCACTTGGAGAAGTGGCATGTGATGTGATGTGATGTTCATGAAACGGTCGTCTCGGAGCTGAGTGCAGGGTGCGAAGATCACTTGTGCTTGGGCAGCCTGACATGCGGAGGAACAAGATTCTATCGCTCATCTTTGGCCCTGCCGAGTCTTCCACAGACCCATGCTGAAGTAGAAAGAAGTGTACAATTACAATTACGATACATGATACAGAATGGGCCAGAAACTTCACCACGAGGCAATGTCTAGATGCTGAGCAAAGTAGGAATGCTTGAATGCTTGCTTCCAAACCATCGCTCTCCTCGGAACGGGACGATTCTGCGCTATGCAGCTGATAGAGTCGCCAACGAGTAATACCTGGGCGGGAAAGCCTGTTCGTCGATCCACAGCATACCTTCCCTCAGCGACATGTTTTCCAGAACTGCACGGGCACGATCTCTTGGCCATCCTCTATGCTTTTGTCCTGCCGCCAGCGATTCTTCTGTCAAGAACGGCAACTCTGCGCCTACTCTATCCATCGCTGCAGATGACAACAGCATGCCCAAAACGACCATAGTATCCGTATCCAATTCTCTCGGAACGCTCCTTACCATCTTCTGGTCCCCGTTCCCCAACGAAAACACCTCATATCCACATCCTAGCGGGGCCAGCATCTTGATACTCCTCACGATATCCTCTTCAGTAATCTCTGCCTCCTTTTCCCTTTCCATCTTCCCCTTCCCCAATGCTGTCGTTGGACGCGAGGGACCAGTTCTCAGCCTAGTCACCCGTCTTATTAAGTCATCCATAGCAATCGCCCCGCCATTAGTCGCCCTCGTACTCACGCAGACATCGATAATCTGCACCCCCAACTCGTACTGCCAGTCCCCCAACCCCAACATGTCACTCCACAACCCGGACAACCCACCAGCATTGCGAGAAGAAGAGGAGAGCGGATCGACACCGATACTGTAGCACATCTTTTGAAAGGCATGGCGAAATCCGGGATTCTTGCGGATCTCTTGTCGATGCGCACTGGAGAATTGTCGTAAAGAGGTGGAGAAGAGCTCGAGTTGCTGGCGAAGCTCGGTGAGTTGGGTAGCGGTGAGGTCGTCACCGAGGGTGGAAAACGCGGTTGTGGAGTGGAGGCTGCGGTCCAGGGCTGCTATACCTGGTCCTCGACGCATCTTGCTGGATGGTACGAGTGAGATGGGTGTGTTGTGTGCCGGATCGGTTGCGCTAGATGAGGTGAGTTGTGGTGGTGATTGACTTAGAGTGTCTGCTTGCACGGTGACAACTCCACATGTCAATCTCGGAAATCCAGGGGAAAAATGGGGTTTGAAATTGGTGGTCCCTGCGCCACGCTTCTTCTTCGTATAGCATCTCCTCCCCTTCGGATACACACACACTTCCTCCTCCATCCGTCAAATCTGTGCGGCTTCCATGTCCTGATGGTCGCAGGCTTCGCCCACGCCCCGCTGACTAAGGGCATCCTCATCATCGTCTCCATAGCCTCGGTCCTTGTCTCCTTGTTCCAACTGAAACCATTCATTCACCTCCAAATCCACCCGCATCTCACCCTTCATCACCAGTGGTATCGTCTCTTCTCGCAGCACTTTGCATTCACCAACTCATCCGAGCTATTCCTGGCGCTTCTGCTGCTCTACAATGCGGGCGTTAAAGTGGAGCGCACTTTTGGAACGTACAAGTTTGCGAGCTTTCTAGCAGTCATCACGGCATTGTATACGCTGGCTCAGGTAGTCCTGCTGGGGCTCGCTTCCCTGCTCCTCACTCGCTACACGGCTCCGAGCGAGACTAGGAATGGAGTCGAGAGAGAAGCACAAAAACACTGGCTCATCAACGGAGCCTCCCCAGCCGGACCTTGGGGTCCCTTGTTCGCCATCATCCACCAACACCAATCCATCATCCCCCATCTCTGGTCCATCTCCCTCGCACCTCCTGATCTTCAACTTACCGACCAACACATCCAGATACACTCCCTCTCCCTACTCCTCGCTTTTTCACAAACAACCTCCACCCTCTTCGCCTCCACCCTCGGCATCCTAATCTCGTCTGTATACCGCTCCCACATCCCACCGTTCTCAAAACTCAAGCACTATCGTCTACCCCTCCGCCTCTACCGCATAGCCGCGCTACTCTTCACGCCGTGGATCGGTGAGACAAGGCCACCACAAAGATCATGGCGTGCAGAAGCGCCGATGAGACGCACACTGCAGGCGAGGGAAGCTAGGTTGGCAGAACATAATGCGGCGGTGGCTAATTTGAACCGGACTAGTAGTGGGCTGCCGAGGATTGCGAGTTTGCTGCGCAGGAGAGAATCGGCGGGTCAGAGTCCGGGTCAGGGTCCGGGTCAGGGTCAGGGACAGACACAAGGATCAGGGCAGGGACTGCCAGGAAGGGTTCAACAGCGGCTGTCGACGATAGGAGAGAGAAGTGAAGGGGCCGGCTGGAATGATGTCCCGCCAAATCTGGGAGCGATAGGTCGTGCAGGGCCAAGGAGAGATGGCGAGAGCCTTGGCAATCTTCCAGGAACTTGACGCCCAATCGCGTTCCATCTTTCCACATTGCAATGTATACATACCGAATCACTGATGTGCCATCCCAAGATGACATTGTCTCCGTGTCAGCAGAGTCTCGTTTGTGGAAATCTCGTCAAGAGCAGTAGCGGATTGTGCGGAAATCATAAATGCATTATAATTGCACATTAATTTCCCCCGCATATCGCTGAGCGCTCTTGGCGTAGTGGTAGCGCGTGTCTCTCCTACTATTTGTCTCTCCAAGAGCGTAGGATCACTTCCAAGACGAGGTCGTGGGTTCGACCCCCACAGGGCGCTTTCATTTTGTCTTTTTTTTTTTTTTTTTTTTTTTTTCTCTTGGTTTCGGTTAATCCATGTACTGTACTGTACTGTACAGTACGTTGCCTGGACCCTGGAAAGCAAACGCGTTGTGCAGTGTAGTGTGCTGTATAGTACAGTACTGTATTGTAGGACATAGGGAAGCAGTGTCGAGTGCAATTTACGGGTGGGTTGGGTGGGAGCGAACGACGCGAAGTGTTGGTCTTGAAACCATGCTTTATCGTCGACCATTGAGTTGTTTGCTAGCTTTGTTGCTATAAGCTTTTGCTTCTGCCGCTTCTCTCTTTGTAGTCATGTATACAGCCGAAACACACGCTGCACAGAGTAGAGCCCCTCACTTCCTACACAACCTTTACCTCTACTCACATCACGACCGCAACACATGCCCTCATTTTTAACTTGATCCCCCGTTCCGCTCTGCTCGACCCCACAACATGAGTGAGAGCCTGAAAAGTTGGCTATTCATCCACACCTCGTCCTCAGCTATCCTATCCCTCGAGAACAATTACGACCTTTCCGATTTGCCCTATGTTCGTGGTAACCGAGTCCAATTGCTTCGCTTCCTAACCTTCCGACCCCCCGCCTCGCCCAACTCCCACAACACCGATGTATGGGCACTGGTTGGCGATCGCACCCACTGCATCGCCGCCCGCTTCGCCCGCGAGCAAGTGAATCGATTCCACAAGGACCACAATCTCACCTTCACCTCTCTCAAAGGAGCCCTTTTAACCCTCACCCATGTACGAACGAGCGTTAGCAGAGTCCAAGTAGACCACACTTCACACGGAGCAGGAGGAATAGGAGGAGAAGGACGACCCTACAGACAAGGGCAATACGCAGTGATACTAGATGTCAAGGGTTGGCAGGTGGTGAGCAGTATCAGTGAACCGGTGTGGTTTGCGGGGGTCAAAGTGGTCACCAGTACGAATGGATTTCCCATGGGCGAAGAGGAGAGGGGCAGGGAAATGTTGAGATGGTTGAAAAAGTGGGTTAGATACAAGTGCCTGTTGCGCCGTGCAAAGGTGGAACAGAGGCAAAGAGAAAAACAAAGGGAAAAGCTTCAAGCTGCTAATGTTGGCGAGGGAGGCGATGAAAGTGCAAGTACAACTCTGCCAACTCCAGCACAGAGAATTGGCAAACGTAAAGCGTTGCTTGTGTTGAGCTCTTCACAGGTGCAAAACACCCAACCCCTCCAGCCATCGATGCCCGCACAACAGGCGGCAGAAAAGACAGCATCGCAAGACTCGGAAAGTCTACCCAGTACAACAAGCAGATCCATGGGTCCCTCCAGCAGCAGCGCAGCGGTAGCGATGGCGGCACTCTGGCAAGATTTTGATCTGGATTTCATTGCAGTCAACGATGATCATGTTGATGCTATCGATGTTCCTGGCCAATGGGATCAAGCCGTGCTGCGACCAAGCACGGAGCCCGCAACTCCAGCGGTGCCGGTGGTGGCTCAAGCGACTCAAGAATCACCACAGACCGCCAGCATTCCAGCACAAGAAGAGTTTCAGTCACAAACACAATCACAAACACAAACTCAGACACAGTCAGATTTAGATCCTTACGAATCAGGACTCTCCGACTACGAACGAAATACCCGTCTCGCTCGGTATCGCTTCAGACATCCTCCCAATCCACCTTTTCCGTCTTCTTCTCCGATCAACCCCAACGAAACGTCCGCACAGAAAATCGACAGGCATCGAGAACGCCTACATCCCACATTTGAGCCTTGGAAAGCTCGTCGTCTTGAACTTGACCTTTCCACCTCTCACTCTGCGTACATCGCACACCTTGATCAAGAAGCCACACGCATTGCCGAGGCATATGAGGCCGATGAAATCTTTAAAGCTGCTTGTGAGCGATCGAGCTCCGAAGAAAGGGAGAGAGAGGAGGCTGCGGTTTCAAGGCGTAGGGGCAATGTTAGAGAGGCGAGGTCGAAACGTATTGCTGGTAGGGAGGAGAGGGAGGAGGAGGGAGTGGGTATCGGGCGTTTCAAACGGGGCAAGGATGTCGTTCAGGGTTTGCAAGGCCAAGTGCGACAGGTTGAGATGGATATAGTGAACGAAACTGCCTCTGCTGCAGTGTTACATGGGGAGAAGGATATCCCTTCTCAAATGTCTACTTCCTCTGGTTCACCGACAGCGCCTGCAAAGACAAGTACTTCAATACAACACAAAAACACAACCTCCAATGCCCCAGACAAACCTTGGAACGATGCACAGTCTACCATCAACCAACATCTTTCCGAATCAGAACTACCACCATCAGCAACAACCCATGACATCCCACCTCAAGCTCCTTTGCAAAAACATCCCAAATTCAAACCTAGCTCAATACCATCTTCACCTTCCGCATCCTCAACAACGAGCAAGAGGAGCAGGGAGAGCAAAAAGCGAAAGCGTAATCAGAACGCTTTGGCCGCTCTGTAAGCATTACCTCCTTCTACCCTTTTCGTCAATTCAGTAGAGGGATTCGAGATGTACTGACACAACACTCCCACCCTTTTTTTTTTTTTTTTTTTTTTTTTTTTTTTTTTTTTTTTTTTTTTTTTTTTTTTTTTTTTTTTTTGGGTTTGGTTTGGTTTGGTTTGGCTATCCTTCTTTTGATGCTAATGTTTGCATTTATCAACGAGCAGGATGGCGCAGATCATCGATTAGCATCCACACCCAGAGACCCATCCTTGCCAGAAAGATACATTGTGGTGCTTGCCAATTCACCCCTCCTCATTCCCATCGTCAAGCGCAACCCAGATCCCATCATGTGAACACAAGCAAATTCCTCACAGATAAACTCAAACGCAAACAAAGCAAAATTGCACACCTTTAAACTGTGAGGAGATGTTATAGGAAATCTCTGAGGCCAGAGCCAATGAATTTTGGGGGGATGTGGGGTGGTTAGAGTGTGAGGATGAAGTGCTTAAAAGCGCAGTAATACACGGTGATGAGGGTTGATGGTTAGGGAAAGAATGCAAAAGTGAACCAGCGGCGATAAGGAGAAGAAACACAAACCACTGTCGCAGCCTTGAAAAGAGAGGAAACAGAAAAGAGCTGAGACAAGTGAAAAAAAAAAAAAGTGTTTAACGGTATCGTCGGAGCTGGAGGGTGTCCCTCTTTCGGATGGTAGAGTTCTTTCCACCACCCTGGGTCTTGTTGTAACGGTGACCCTTGCCCTGACCACGGCTCTTCTTGCCGGTGGCGGTCAAGCCGCGGCACTCGCGACGCTTGTGAACGGCCTTTGCGATCCAGTTGATGCGGGGGTCGCGACGAATGGCCTTGTGCTGAGGGTCAACGGCGATAACCTCAAAGTACTTGTAGACACCATCCTGGTTGATCCAGTACGAGTTGAGGATGCGCAAGTTGGAGCACTTGCGGCCAACACGCTCCTCGGCAGTGGCGCGAAGCGAACGCTGGTACTTGAGGTGGTTGACACCCTGACGAACGGGCTTGCCGTAAGTGGCACCCTTGGGGACGGGCTTCTTGCGGTTACCGCGACGAACACGGATGCGGTAGATGACGTAACCCTGCTTGGACTTGTAGCCAAGACGGTGGGCCTTGTCAAGACGCGAGGGGCGCGAAGCTCGGTGGATCACGTTGAGCTGACGGTACTCCCAGCATCTGTTGGTGTGGAAAGAGACGAGATGGGATGAAAAAGGTTAGCATATTGTTGGTGTGGTAGAGGTTGATGATCCCTCGCTATCGCTCTCATTAACGCCGCTTGTCGCCGTGTCTACTGAGCCATTTTTTGTTGAGAACAACAAGGCTGGCCGACAAACACAGCAATCAATACGACATCTATGTGAAACTTTGATCGCAATGGTCTGACAGTCAAAGATGATTGAACTGCATCTCGCGTCGTGATGTTGCAAAAGTCGTAGAGCAGAGTCATGCAAAGCACTGAACAGGATGAAGCAGAGCAAGGACTAGACCGGAGACCGCACGACGTACAAGACGCCGCAATCCAGGATCTTTTGTCCTCGAATATCTACCTGATCTATGCCAAGCGACAATCTTGTTCTGACATCGCTTGCTTCCATCACGAACGAAATACGCTTCCCAACCTGGACCGGCATCAGACCAAGTACGAGCCAAAGACGACAACGACGATGCAGTGTCGATCACCGAGTCTGCTGCATTGCAACAAACAGCTGGTCGAATTGAAAAAAGCGATAGCGAGGTTGTATGGCTGAACGTGTGTTTGGATACTAACCGAACACGGAGAAGGAATCGGAGCACATCGCTCTGTTTCTTCTTGTAGAGCTCCTCGACGTATTTGTAGGCACCCATCTGTTGTTGTTTGTTGTCAAAAGATTTATCAAAGGGAGGGAAATGGTTAGCACGAGCTTTCAAGCAATCGTGAACGAAAAGGGGACTCAAAAGGTCGACGCCTCGCACCAGAACACAATTCTAAGCGGTTCGCATTTTTCCAAAAGAAGAGAATATGCTACTACAACTCGAAGAAGAGGTCCTGGATTACAGAGGGTACTAAACGTCCCAGAAACGTAGCCGATGTTGTTGGTGTTGGCGTGCGGTTGGTTAATTTGTGGAATGCGTATGCGTGCGATGCTGCGTTGCTATCGTATGGTCTGCTATCGTATGGTCCATCATTGTAGGTTTGGCATGCATTTCCTTACATCTGAATGTTATCTCGATTTGAGTGGATTTGGTGGTGATGGCGGTGCGTGCGAATGCTGCTGATGCTGGCGATTGGGTGGACTGGGCTACGTTTGCTGAAAGGTTCCTTTGTTGTCGATAATAGTGGATAGGTGCTGCGAGTCTTACCTTGTATGATTCTTGATGACGAAGTCGTAGGGTGTCGAGAAGGAGAAGCTGCGATGATGAGCAACTCGTTACCCACACTGACTGCTCGCACACTCACACTTTCCAGAAGCTAGAGCCGGGACTCTCTGCTAACATTTCGAATCTTGGTCTCTTTCCGCCTGCTACTGGCCACACACTCTCTAGAGAGCCTGTCTTGTG